ACTGCCTTCGGCTCAGGTCATGATCCTGGAGTCCCGGGATCGAGTCCCGCATCGGGCTCCCTGCTCAGCAGGGAGTCTGCTTCTCCTCTGACTCCCCCCTCTCGTGCTCCCTCTCTCTATCTCATTCTCTCTCTCAAATAAATAAATAAAATCTTAAAATAAATAAATAAATAAATATTTGAAGAATGAATTAATTCTACACTAATTGAAGACAAACCCAGGTTAGATAATCTAAAACAAGAAATCCTTCAACCATTTAGAAGTCAAAGATACACTCAACTTTATAATTCCATTCTGCCTCAATCCTATCAGTTACCTGCTCAAGAGGTAGTATATATAAGTGCCAGTTCATTCACAGAAAACAACTTGCTCATGTACATAATCCTAGAATAATCATAATCCTAGAATCGCTTTCATTTTAATTTAAAATAGACTACAGTCACATTATTTTTAGATTAACATCTGAAACCTCAAGGATATCCCAATCAGTTCCTGGCTGTATATCCCCCAGCCAAACTCACAAAACTTTTCTGGTATCCCTTTAGCATTTTATAAATTTTTTAAAGAGTGGCCCTTCTTACAGACCGTTATAAGGCAAAAATCACATACTAAGCTAGACTGAATTCCCTGGAAAAATAATTATACGACTATAAAGCAGTTAGTTAACTGACGATTTTAAGTGGTAAGTTCCATGGCATTTGCAGTTTCATTCTGCTTGTCTCTGTAACAGCTTTGAATTTATCTTCTGGAAATACCTCCTCTCAGCCTCAGAGACAGAACACTACTACTCTGGCTCTTCTCCTTGGGATTCTTTTCCACACCATCTCCCCTTCCCATGCCGTATATATGACATAACCCCAAGTTTATACTTCAGCACTCTGCTCTCTGTGGGCCAGTGATGCTCAACATGTGGCCAGTCACCACAAACTACATCAGAATTACCGGGGGAGCTCGTAGAAGAACAAAGACTCCTGGGCCATGCCAGCCCTAACAAATCCCAGAATGCGTGGGGTGGGAGCCAAAGGCCTGCGTGTTTCCCAAAAACCACAAATGGTGATACACTCTATAGTTTGAAACCCACTGCCCAGACATTTTCTCAGGTTTGCAGCTTTATCCCATCCCAGCCTCCAGAAAAAAGTAGTGAGTTAGGACAGTATAGCAACCAAGAACTCTAGCTGGAACAAAGGCCTAGCTAGAACCCTGGCTCTATCAATTCTAGCTGTCAGATTATGGTCTGCAGTGAAACCTATCTGAGACAATGTGTGCACAGGCCCTGGCAGAATGCTTGGCCTAAAAGTATTTTTAATAAATGATTGCTATTATTAGTACTGTGGCTTTCTATCAACCTGCCTCAAACTGATTATGCATCCTCACTTCCCACCTTCCTCAAACCGCCTTGCCTTTCAGGATTCCCTCCCTATTTCTGTTGACCTGACCATTTTACCAGTTTTCCAGGCTTCAGCCTGCTCAACTTTTCCACTGATCAACAAGCTGTTTTATTATTCATGCTTGCCTGCCCAACATCTCAATCCCAATCTCCCTCATCATTCCACATCCTTCTCCACCTAACAAATTATTTTGTAGTCTTTCTTGACTGTTCCAGCTCATATACTCACAGACCCATATCACCTGTAAAAATTCATTAGCAATTAATCAAAAACTGGCCTATGACATCCCTCTTATAATTGTCTTAAACTGTGAACTTTTCCCCTGATATTTAACCATTTACTTGTTTATATCTAGTTTCTCCAATTACAGTATAAGTTGCTGAGATGTGTAGAGACTGATACTTTCATCTATAAGCTCAGCACCTTACTTCTTAAGATAGAGTCAGCATTCAAATGATTATACAGAAACTCTACCTGAAAACTTAAGGTTAACAGCATTTGAGTAGAAGCATGTTAAGTAATTTGACCTCAAGGTCAAAATCTCTTCTTGGCTGCTAAGGACAATCTTGTGTGAGGTCTGAAAGGAATTTTGTCATTCAATAAATTGCTTAGGGAACCGGAGGGAGATGGAAGTGGTGGTCAGATAAGCCATCATCAGATAACCTATTGTAAAAAGAAAAATAGACGCTGCAACCAGCCATAGGCATTAAATTTACAGCCTCAGATAAACAGCTTGTAAACAACAATGTGACTTAAGCTACAGAAGTGGCAATTTATAAAATCTAAGTTGTATTAGTAAAATCAGGGTACTCCCTATTTTCAATTTTAATACCCACAGCCAGGCTTTTCAAAATGAGCACAAGTCAATTCAGAGGAGTTCTTGGAATAATTTCCTTTATAGCAGAATCCTAAATTTAGACCATACGAAAGATACTGAGAAACCAAACAAAGAATTCAAAAAGGCAGGTCCCAATTTATAAAACCAGAAGTCTAGATCAAACACTCAACCCAATTAAGAATTTTTCCTTCATGGTGAAGCTAGAAATAAAATGATTTCATGAGTAGTTTCAAAAGATTGTCATGCTGCATACCCTTCCATTTTGCATGATACGGTTTCATATACAAATAAATAAATGTTCTATTCGCAACCTTTTCTTCTTGTTCTTGAGATGAAACCCGAGACCTTAGAAAGATACCAAACGTGGAAATATGTAGAGTGTCACATAATCATTATAGTGACTTAAAATACTTGCTTACTAGTTGGAAAAACGACTTAATGGGCTTTCAGTGTAGACTAGCCAGAGAAAGAAAATACATTGGGAATTGACATTCCCAACAGGTATAAAACGTTTGTGAAGAAATGGAGGTGAGATCATCTAGCAGTTTTAGATGACAGCCAACTCATAAGCAGACCTTTTAAAAACTTAAAACAAAAACAACCACTGCACTTCAATTTTCCCCTTTCAAAAGAGATGAAAAACCAGAATTTTGTGAAAAAAGAAAAATTCAACATTTCAACCCCACTTAAAACAAAGGAAACCTAGTTGTATCATACAGTAAAAAAGCCGAGCTTACATTAAGTTGCCAAAGCCTCATACATGATTAATTTGGGGGCGGGGGGAGGGATTGGAAGGGCTCAGAAGGCTGGTAGGACTAAATGGACAAAGAAAATGGTAAGAGCAGACAAAAACTAGATTTCTCATAACATTGCCTATTCACTTCCCTAAAACGATAGTTGCCTATTTTGATAATTCATCTCTTTGTAAGCCAAGAAGAAAACTAACCATTTTGGCTAAATTAGCTATCGTTCCCAGTCTGACAGTACTTTTCTTTTTGTGCTATATACTAACCCAGAGGTTTAGAATCAGCGTTCGTAATGGCAACATTTTACACTAATAAGTTTTCCAGTACCATTAAATCACCACAGAGGGTGAAGGCCACGGTTAATGGAAAACGTCAGAACTTTAAAGGACATCAGGCTGTAAATCCCAAACCCATAACCAGGATTTTAATACTTTTGGCTCCCACAATAAAAAAATTTTTCCGCGACTTAAAGTAAACTAAAAACTATATATATACATATAAACACCAAGTACAACAGAAGTTCTGGCCTAGAATTTCACAAACACACCACTTTGGGGCGAGGAGAGGAAGCTGGTCACGGCAGCAGAGCGCCTGAAGACTTCCAATCAGAGAAACAATACCCCAACCAGTAATAGCCCTCACCCTGTTAATCAAATGCAGTTTTGACCTCTGAAAACCCTCTTACCTGTTTACAAGAGTTTATACAGCTGTTTGCCACTGGAACACCACCTTGCAGAGCATAACCGTGGCATCCTCGGTTGATAATCACCTGTTGCCTAAGTAAGCATCATCCCGCATGGAGACAGACAGCACTAGGGCTCTTCCATCCGAGGTTAAAATTCAAAACAAGCCCAACAAGCCTGCATTTCAAGGTGGTCTTCGTCTGCAACTAGTTAAGTTTAAAACTGGCAAACGACAACGGTGTCTGAAGCCACTGGTGCAGCACTGCTGGCTTCCTCTTGAACTGCAGCGTTGTCACTGTGCACCGAAGTCTCCTGCTGCAAACAGGGGAGTTGTTCTCCTGTACTGGGAACAGCTTCCAAAGCTCAGGAGCCCCTGTACAGGATAACGCAGGAACTAAAGGCAAACACTTTCTCCTCTTTAAGGATGCCTCCATTTTTTCCTCACAATCTGTACTACCAACCGAAGTGACTGGGCCTGAGTGTGCGTTCGTACCTATGAAACCGTCACGGTGCATGCACATCCAAGGCATGTGGAACCACAGGTCAAATAAGGCACAGATACCGAGTAACGGTTCTAATTACAAACGCTAGCTCTCAGGAACTCTTCATCCATTCAGAACTAAACCCATCACTGCATAACTCTGGTAAGAAGCCCCTGGAGATGGAGGAGCTCCTCAAATGTGTCAGGAAAGGCTTTATTAACATCATCATTAACATTTAAAAAGCAAACGGAGCATTTCTCCTTCTTTTGGCAATTTGGTGCAAATGTTAAGTGCAAGATAAAGCAATTTCAAACTTTTCTTCAAATTAAAAATGAAACTAAGGCCAAACGTGATGGGTGAACAAAATAAATCAAAACTTAAATTTCAGCAACTCCGGCTCTTCAAACCAGCAAAGCCCCCGACTCGTGCACTGTGGTGAGGCTTACGGTGCTTGCCCCGGCTTCTTGCGTGCCAGCAAACAGCACCATTTCCTCATCAAGTTGAGGACTGAGAAGCAAAGGATCCCCTTCGCTGCAAACAAAGGGGGTCACAGTAACACTAGTGATCCTTCAGAATTGACACACCGTGATAGTCAAAATGATGGTCTCCCTGCTTCTTGCTCAAGACATACAAGATCTGAGCAGCAGCAAGTACCCCCTCGGCTGCAAACAAAGGGGTCAAAGGTTTGCCGTCAATTCACTTCCAGGCAGAAAAACATTTTCCTCAAAAGAAACAATTTATTTAGAATAAAACAAAAGCAGCTCAACTGTGAGCGCACGTTTGAGTGACAGCTACTTTTAAGCTGTGTGAGCCATAAAAAGGGTTTTTCTTTACTTTTCCAGAAATCTTGTGTACACAGCACAAAGCAAGAGGTCATTTTTTTTCCACTTAAAACACCGGCATTGGCATCACAATAGCAGATACACAACTTTAAGCTGCCATTTTAGTAAAATGCACAAATACTAAACAGATTAGCTTTCTTCCATCAAGAGGCCCATGTAAACTCCACATAAGCCACAACTTCTCTTCAAAAAGGTCCATTAGAGCTTTGAATTCCATATCTTCAATCCGCAGTTCACCAGTTTTGCTTGCGGGGGGGAAAAAAAGGTTATTCAGTACAAATGTTTACAATATTAAAAATATATATATTTCCCCTATGCCATTATAGATGAACATAACATTAACAAGACCTTCCTGGATAGTCCAGCTTGACTTCAAAAAGCACCAATAATACCCACTGGCACATACCTTGAATGAATTTACTGTATGAATAGACAAATAACAAGTAGAACAACAGGGTGGATTTTTTTAAGGACTGCAATTAAGCAAAGATTATAGGACTGAAAATACCCTTTATACTCATGTAACTGAGTAAAACATGTCAAAAAAATTCAGAAAAAAGTAAGTTTATAATCAATTTATGATCAATATATTCTAAATATAACTTAAAAAATGAAACTAAAAAAAGGTGGAGTTTAAACTTTTACCCTCTCTGGTCTCATTCCATAATTTAGATGGAACAATCCAGAACTACTCCGTTGTAGAAAGGGGTCAAGATACGAAGCCATTTAAAAATCCACCTTCATCTGTGTTACCAAAGACAGCAGCTGTTCTTTTAAGAAAACTCATTAAGAACAATCGCTAAACGGCCAAGAACATTTTAGGACTTTTACTTTTCAACTGTTTAAATCAAACATAGAAACCTTTTTATTTAGCAAGACAGTTCGCTGTGGTTACCTGAAATCATTTTATCCCTTTAGGGACATCATTATAACCAGAATGTTAACAGGGTCAGCTCCACTTCTCTTCTTGCTCTCACCCCTAACTGCCATCTCAAAACCAAACACCGTAGCAGAGACAGAAAAAAAGTCCCGAAATTCTCTCCAAAACTTTTCACACAAAAGGTCATTAAGGCCCTCTTCTCAAGAGGATTTCCTAATTCTGTTACCACAGAGTTTTTGGTGAATGGTTCCTACATGAACCCAAACTGAAGTTCAAGCTGTACCTGCGTAACGAGCAATTTCATGGTCTAAAGAACGTGGATTTCAAATTTTAAAAAACAAATACTGTCAGTGAAAACCTGCTCATAAAATTTTTAAATAAACCTAAACAGTGTTTGACTCTGAAAGCAACACACACACACACACCTCACTTTTCCTACTGTATCTCAAATGATCTAAATGAATTAAGGGCCAGAGTATGTTACCTTCAAAATGTGACAAAAAGCTTATACCAGCCAGAGGATGGACATTTTAAGATGTAATCCTTAAAGGGAAAATTCTAGCTACAGAGTCCAAGTATACATGTTAAACCAGGAATTTAAATTTTTGTGTGGGAAAACTCTTTACAGGAATCCCGGTTACAACCAACAAAATAATATTTAAAAAATTGGCTAGGAGCCGAATGATTGCTTAACTTTCCATAAACTTTGAAGTTGTGATCTAAGTCTTAAGTAGCTTGATGTTTTTCACCAGTAATACTTAATAAGTCATTAAATGATATATTGAAGAAATTTTCTTTGCATTCATTTCAACAGTTCCAGAAAAATCAATTTAGCTAAACGAGTATTTTTTTTTTTAAAGTAAAAGAAACAAGTGGTTGTTACAAAGAACATCCAATATTGAAATTATGAAATTCTGGCTAATGAGAATTAGAACCAGACAGCTTTAGACTCTTGCTTTCATTCGATCCTGAAGGCTTAAGTAGATAGTTTAACAGTATTATGAACCTGCACAACAGATGGGCAACACAAATAAGAGATTCATCTGAATGATGGCACTTTGTAGGTAAGCACCAAACTAAACATAATTAGTTATTTCTAATACATACATTTAGAAATGGTATCAAGCCATTGTTTCAGAAACACGGAAGCACAAATTGCGCAGATCTAACAAAAGCCGCCATGTCAGATAAAGAGTCAAACAAACAAACATGGAGCAAAAACCACAGTACTCTTTGATAAGTTGTCACATCAACTTAAAAAAAAAGAAAAAGAAAACAAAAAAAGGAAAATGGGAAAAACCACACTTTGGATTAGAGTAAAATTAAATGTTGTGGACTTCACTCTCTAAAAGAGCAAAATCATTTGTCCAGCCTTATCAAAAGATACTCAAAAGTTAATGGTTAGTGAGATTATTTAAACTGGAAAAATGTATCTAGCCAAACTGTACTTTGACCCCATGTATACACAGACTGCAAACCTGCATTAGTTTCTGAACAGTGTCTCCTCCATATTAGTGTGCCAAGTAAAGCTTTTTAAAAGTAAAAGCACCAAGTCTTACTTGTAGGATTTCAGATAGTCTCCCTACAGGCACACCAAGGACCTTTGTGCTCACAGCCTAGTACCTTCCTTCTGTTAAAATAGCTAGTTTTTCCAGTTTAAAAAAACAAAAAACCCACAAAGACCTCCCAACTTAAAAAGAAAATTTATAAATGCATGGTGAAAACCAAAAAGGATGACACAGCAGTGATGAGGATTTCATGCTGACATGCATTAGACACCTGTCATAACGGAAAATAAAAAAATTACATGACATTTCCCTGGGTTATTATTGGTGCTATTTCAAAACTACCAGCTTTGATAACAGAAAGAAAACAGTTGAGTTCTGCCAGGCTTTCTATAAGTCACTTTCACAGAATAGAAACATGACCATGATCCAAAAGGTCCCAGAGTTTCTAATCATAATTAAACATCAAGGGCCTTAGCTAAAGTCCTCAGCGTTTAAATCAAAGGGGGAAATATACTTAACTAATGACCTGAGAAACTAGGGGTGAGGACAGAGGGACAGATCAAAGAAACAAGACAAAAAAGAAAATCATCCATTACTGTTTTGCAGCAAAAGCCCTTGTTAAGAACCAGGAATTGATATAACCTTCAGCTTTGAAAAAAACTGTGATGGTCGGTTAAATTATTCTGTATTAATTCCAGGTGTTTGGGAAATAAAACAATAAAAAGAGGTTTTCCTACACTGACATTTCAGTTCTCTGTGGTTGGACACCAGTGAATATATTAAACACAAAATTTCAAAGATATTCAACATTTTCAATAATGTCATCGCTACTGTTTATATATGAAAATAAAAATACAGGCAAAATTTAAATAGAGCATGTCAAAGGCATTTCACGATGACTTTAAAAATTTCTGCAATTCAGATATGGCTGATTAATGCCCACTAAAACAAAAGCTGACTTATGAGCCTGCAGACAACTCTTCTTTCTATTATTGAAATCAGAAATTTGCATGGATACAAAAAAACTCATCTTTGATGAAAAACACTTAAGTTTTGAAATATGCACAATTAAATTAGACCTGTACCTGCTATACCTCTCTGAAAGTCAGTAAAAACACCATCACACACCAATAACTAACCAAAGAATTCTGATTTTAAAAACAGCTACTCACTTCTTGCATACTAGCATAAGACATATATGGTTTGTAACCTACTCCTCAATTTTTACTGAACAGTTACAGCTACAAACCAAAAGTGCATATACGGGATACAGAACTTAAGAACTAATGATAAAAAATGTGTATGTTAAAGCAAACTCTCCGGAAATAAACCATGTATTTTAAGAGAAATACTCAAATACCTGATTAAAATAATTACATTGCTATACAATTTACCAGCTTGTACTTTTAAGATTCCTGATCAAATTTCAGCCACACAAATAACATTTCTGGTACAGGAATTATTTACCTACATACCAATCAAGCCATTTTTAGGTGTATATTATCATCTTTATAAAGTCAGTGGGCTCTTCTTCAAATCCCGACTTTTCAAAAATTTTGGGTTTGTAACTCTGAGGATTTTTTTTTTTAAGCTCAAGTTTAAAAAAGGGGAAAAAAATAAAACTGAAGAAAAAGAGGAAAAAAGTACTCATAAGAGTAGGACATCCTAATTAAAATAAATCCATCCGCCTGCTACCTTCAGGGCATCCCTTTCACTTAAAATAATAGCTAAACTGTCCTGACTTCTATTTTAAAGGTTTATAAAAATATAAAAAAGAAAAAAGCTAGAACTAAACAAACTAATTCAAAAGAAAATTTCATCTGATGCTGTATCCCATTACACATCACAAAACAGGAACCATGTCAAAGTAGTAAATACAAGTTACACATGGACTTTAGGACGCACCACGGACAATGATCATGACCAGGTAATCTTCTTCAGATTTGGCCAGTGCCTTGGCAGGGGAATCCAGGAACTGCTGGGAGAACTCACAGGGTGGGAAAGCATGTAGGACCCCGGTGTTTTCCTTGTCTTTGTTGCCCCCCACAGGGAGGCTTATCACCCCAGCGGCCTGCTTTTGCTTTAAATAGGACACAAGGTTCCTAAGTGGCCTCTGAGTAGAGGTGGCAGTGTCTGACGTGGCTGAAGAAGAGGAGGACCTGTTGTCAGAACTTCCAGGCACAGCCAGAAGAATGGCATAACCATTGGGCCCTGCCACTTTGATGCGTCGAGTTACTTCATCCAACTTGGGCTGGTCCAAACGAAGACGCTGAGTGATCTTGAGCTGGGCTACTTTGCCTCCAGTTGAGCCCTCCACAAGAAGACTACTAGCCACTTGGAGGTCACCCTGCAACAGATGCATGTTGGAAGGAAAGTTGCTGTTCTTCAAAAGAAGCATGCCCTGCCAGGCCAAACAGAGTTTGGGAGAGGCTGCAGCTGCGGGGGCTGTCCCACCATCCTGTTTCTGGGAAGGGGACTTTAGCTTCGAGGAAACAGTGCTGGTGCTGGGTGCACTCCCATCAGACCGGTCTTCTTTTTTCAGAGGGCTTTTTCCCTCAGTGGGAGCAGCTGTCCGGTGCTTCCTATCCCGTTCAGCTGATGCAGAGTTTTTACGGTCTCGCTTGTCACCCTGGCTCTTCTCCAGACTACCTCGTCTGTCTCTGACTGGAGAGGGCCTTTCCAAGATAAGACGGGAAGATCGATCATTGTCACTGTTGTAGCGATCCCGGCTACTGGTCAATTCTGGGCTGCGGTCGGGAGAAGGAGCACAGTGACGTTTTCGGGGACGGTCACTCTCAGGGGACCTATCCAGGTGCCGGCCCCCACTTTCCTCAGGCGGCCTTCGCTTCCTAGGCTGGTCTCTGCTGCTGGGCAGATCTCGCTCGCCTCTGTCCCGGTCCAAGGACCAGCCATCTCGCCTGCGATCCAGGCTATCCAGTGGCTCATAAGCAGGCACAGCAGTAGCTGCAGTCCGAGTGCTGCGTTCACGGACTGGGGGTGGGGGTGGCACCCAGTCAGAGTCAGGATAAAGGTCTCTGTCACGATCTCTGTACAGTAAGGGTGGTGTCCTATCCCGAGCACCCCTCAAAGGGTCAGGTGCTCGATGTCCAAAAGCATCTGTCACCAACTCATAATGAGTTAAGGGCAGAGGCTGCAGATATTGCTGCTGGTAACGATGTTCTGTATCTGCAAAGTCTACTCTAAGGCGACGATCTGGGCCACCAAGTGGGAAGCCACGCATATGGGTCCAGGCAGCATGAGCCGCATCGAGGCTTTCATATTGGATATATGCCCAACTATCACCTTTGCGGTAGTCTATAGTGCGAATGGTGCCAAATCGGTCAAACTCTCGGGCCAGGGCAGCAAGAGGCACCCAAGGTCCCAGACCACCTACCCAGAGGCGGGTGGTGGGTGTAGCTTTACCATAACCAATTTTGATAGGATTCCGAATAATAATTTTGCCAGACATTGCTAGTTTGGCCCGGTGAGACATGTCTAGGTTCTCAAATTTGAGAAAGCCATAGGTACTGGTCTGGCCCCGAGAAGGCCTCTTGATGTCTACCTCGGTGATGACTCCAAAGCGGTCAAAAGCCCTTCTTAGATCACTCTCTGTCACAGTGATGTCTAGGTTGCCCAAGAAAAGCGTCCGGTTAGCTCGCTGATCATCCTCGGGTGAGATCTCATCCACTTCTCGGAAAGGAGCAGCACCTGCTCCAGCTCCCACCCTTGGCTCAAGACTGTATGCTGGGCGCACTCTCTCATAGAACGGGTAGTCTCGCTCTCTCTCCAGCTCACGGGGCAATGGTGGCGGAGGTGGAGGGGGCAGGCGGCCAAGAGCCAACTGCTGCAACCGGTAGTCTCTGTATCCCAAGGCTGCGCCACCAGGGGAAAGCGATCTCTGGCCTCCACCTCCTCCAGGGGGGTGCCGGTGTCCACCTACAGAGGCCCCGACCACACTGGCTGACGGAGGATAAGTATCTTTGTCTAAAGGGGAGCGGCTGCGGCGCCGGCTCACATACACAGCTTCTATCTTCAGGGGCCGGTCATAGAGCACTAGGCGGCCTCGGGCATGCTTGGCCGCCCGCGCGTCCTCTGGCCGCCGGAAGTTCACAAAGGCTACTCGCTCATCCCCGCTGCCAGAACCCGAGAGATGACTGATTTTGACACTTACATCACCGAAACGTTTGAACTCGTGAAACAGTCCGTCCTCCACCGCTTCGTCACTCAGCTGGGACCCCAACTCGCTTATCTTCAGTGTCTTGTATTCCCCGCCGTCCCCGCCGCCAGGAGCTGAGGAGGCGGCCCCAGAGGAACGTGACTCCCCGCCTCCACCCCGGGAGCTGCTGCGCGACTCGCCCCCGCCCGAGGAATTTTTGGTGCTTGGGGAGCTGTAACTATGCAAGCGGCTACTGGAGCTGCCCCCACCAGTGTCATACTCGCGGCTGCCACCTCGGCTGCTGGACTTGTCCAGATGAAGGCTGCGCCGCGACCCGCCGCCGCTGTCGGTCTTTCCGCTGCTACTCCCATTGCTGCCACCAGAGCCCCCTAACTTCTTGCTCCGCTCGCCGCGGGAAGTCGAGTCCTCACCTCCACGGGAGCGTTTGGGCTTGACTGGAGAGCGCTCTTTTCCCTTCATTGTTGCGGGTCGTCGGAGGTCGTCTCCGAGGAGATGATTAACCCGCCGCCCCGCGCTCGTTTCACACAGCGGAACCGCACGCCGCCATCTTGGACTCCGCCGCGGTAAAGGATCCCGCCCCGTAGTCCTCATTGGTCAATTAGCTCGTCTCTTCTACAGTCTCATTGGGAAAACGATTTGTCTGTCTTTACATCTCCCCGCGCTCCGGAAAGGCGCCCGCCCAACCACTGTTATTGGGTTCCCAACGCCCTAGTCTGAGTACCTCATTGGTTATATTTGTTGTCCATCTTAACGGTTCCTCGCGCCAGGCTGTGGCTCCGCCCGTCGCACTCTAGGGTCACCTGACCCAAACTCTGGAGGCGTTGATTGGACAAAAAGTCTGCCCTGTAACGGTACTTCTAGCGCGGTAAAAGCAGTGATCCCACCTCCTCATTCCTTTCATTGGTTTGTGACTCCGTCCTTTAACTCACTATGTGGGAAGTCGGGCCATCCGTTCTGGCGTTTTTTCTGAGAGGCCCGTTTACAGCGTTCTCGCGAGAGAGAAAGCGCTCCCTTTTTTGACCTCTTTTTCCAACTCCTCCGGCGGCTCAAAGAAGTTTAAATTTGATTGGATGTTGACAAGGAAGTTGATAGGCTGAAATAACTGTCCATCACTCGCTTAAAGGGGTAGGCTCGTATACGGGGAAGGCTGACTGAAGGTGAAAGAGTAGAACACGCGCTTGCTGTGCGACGTCACTAAGACGTCGCGAGATGGTGACCCAGAGTTAGCTCCGCCTCCTCGCGCTTTCCGCGTTCTCTCCTCATACATGTATTTGGTCCTGCGGCGTAATTGGGAGTGCCTCGGCCCCTGGAGCCCGAAACTTCTGGGCCGCCGGCGCACTTAGTACTTGTCTGGGACAAGGGGCTATCGGGGCGAATTCCTCAGGAAGGCGGCCCGGGGCTCTCAGCGGACACCATCTTAGTCCCTCTGGCCTCAGAACAGCCTGTAAAAGCTGGGTCCGCGAGGCAGGCTGGCCGCGGGTTCCCAGTTAGCCGAGTGCCGGTTCCACTAACGCCTGGGGCTCTCGGGGGCCCGCAGCCGGGAGGCAGCGCAGTCGAGCTTCAGCTTTCGCCCGGGGCCTGGCTCTCCTTGGCGCTCCCCGCTCCAGCCCAAGTACCCCGCGTAACCGGAGGGGGCGGGTACCCGGCGCCCGGGCCCCGCCGCCCGCGCGCGTGCCTCTGCGCTCCCAGTTTTCTGTTGCGAAGTCGCGTGCGTTTTGGATTTTGTACAAGATCGGGTGATCTAGGTCCGTTGGTTTTGTATATGTAATGCCCCTCTCCGTTAAATAATCGAGTCAAATTGACGCCCCATATGCAGACGTGTCGCGTTTTTTTGCGGCTTCTCGTATCCTCGGCATCAGGTTAGTATAAGAACCCAGTAGCACAGCCTTGCCGACTCTCCAGAGGAACCTCTTTGCCTCCTTCAGGCATCATCTGCTTCAAAACCCAACTTTCATTAAGGTTAAATAAAGCACCTGTGGCAGGTGCTGCTCTTTGGCTGGTGAAGGAAGTGCTGAGTTCATCACAGCGGTCAGGCTTTTTGCCGTCCTCCCAGGTCTCTTGGCAGAGGTTATGAGAGTTCTTGTGTTGATCCTCTTCTTGTGTTGATCCTCTCCTCTGTCACTTCTTTCAAGTCCAGTATGTAGGAGAGAATGAGATTTTAACATAACACTTTTCAAGGTAATGCGAATGTCCCCAAAACTGAAACCTAAACTTGAAAGCTCTGTTATGGTTAGGACTGCAACATGTTTAGCCCTGCCTTAGCCATCCTTCTCTTTCTAGATAATCTTGAGGAAGGTGAATATGAATTTTATCTCTTGATTTGATCAAAGCTTGAAAGAAGCCTAATATGTAAAAGCATGAAAATCCGCGGCATTGTAGTATGTAGACTTACTCGCTGTATTAAGACTAGCTATTAAAACTTCATGAGGCATAGAACAGCGTGTATAACATGCTACCACTTGTGGTTTTAAAAAATAATATATATTTGTAGGTGCACGTGTTTTTGTTAATACATTCATAGAAGCTTCATTGAGAGTACTTCGGTAATGGTTACTAAGATAACCCTGAGAGGCGGGTGGAGGGTCTGGGTGGGAGAGAAACTCAACCTTCCATTATATATCTTTCTGCATTATTAAAAGGAAACTTGTTTTACCATGTGCATGCTATTACTGTTTCATTTTTTTAATTAGCAGCCCTTAAACTAACAACAACAAAAAAAAAACATGCAAAAGTAGAATACTATAAAGAACTCCGGTGTACCCAACCCCCAATTTCAACAATTACCAACTCCTGTCAATCTTGTTTCCTATACACTCTCTTCCCACTGTTGCCCCTTTGTTATTTTGTTCCAGGCTTATCTGGTACATTTCCTGGCCCAGACAAGAAATCAGCCAGTTTCTCCAAGGAGATCTGGTTCCTTTTAGTGAGAAATGATATAAAAATCTGGATGTTAGGAGATAAAGAAAACAACAACCAACACATTGTTTGTAAAAGCATAAAACAAAAGGCTTTACATTGTTAGGGATTTTAATCTGTTTCAAGGTTATATTAAATACAACACAAAATTGAAGTTAAGCCATTATCTGATTACTTAATGTAATAGCCAATCCAAATAAACCAGGCTCCAGAATGACTATTTTTGGCCTATACTGACCTGCATAGGTGACTGAATGATCAAAGAAAAAGTAATGACCAAATCAGCATAGTTTCTCACACATGACAGGGGTTGAGGGAGCACAGGAATGGAGGGAAAGAATTCAAGGAGCAGGTACCAGTATGTGCAGCAGTGCCTGAGGCTCTGCTAGGCTTAGTGGCTTAGCATTGGAAATACCAGGGAGCTTGATGGAGCTACAGCACACAGCTCTCGGCAGCAGGAGAGCTTGCCTAAGAGGATTGATGGCCAAGGACTGGTAAGTCGAATGGTTAGACAGAAAAGCCCTGGATTCTGTTATTAGTAACAGAGCCAAAATATAACCTTGATGTGTGTGTATGTGTGTATGTCCACAACAGAATTGGATAATGACATAATATGGCCATGCTGTAGTCAAAATGAGTGTTCTCATTTCCGTTGTGTTCTTTACAGTATGAAGGTGCTTAGTGAGATCATATCAGCCTATGTTTGCACATATGTTTTAAAGAGAGCTGAAAGAGGATAAAAGTGACCCATGGTTTAGAAGGCCAGGACTTTAAACCCTTTTTCTGGCATTGGTGATGGTGTTGTTGAGGTCCAGTTCAAGGTTTCATCTGGCCTTGTGAATACCTTGTTAAAAACCAAGACAGAGAGTTGAGGAAAAGCTGCCATAGCCCATTCTGGTGTCAACGTTGGTCCTTTGAAGCTTTGACTCAAAGGCCTGCAAGGACACAGCCCAGCAGGAAAGTGGCCACAACTCTAGCTTTCTCTAGGAAGTGCCTTTTCCATATCCTTTAAAATCAGTTTTAGATTTAAGAGGAAAAAGCAAAATAAAAGTTATGGAAGAAACTGCATAATTAAAAGGTATCGGTATGTCTTCAAAGAAACATCTTCTTTCCACCCTCTTCCTAGGTTTTATTGTTTGTGTATCCTCAGTACACAGACAATTATGATTGTAATGTGAAATTGATCTTGAGAGCTGAGAGCTGTTTGATTTCCTGGTAGATGCAAAAGGCCTGAAGCTGGGAATTGAAATTATTTTCCCACCCACAAGAGTGGATTAAAATTTTCTATTTCATCTTCCTTCATAAACGTGAGTGGTCTCCTGACAGTGAGGTTTGTTTTGTTGGTCTGCAGAAAAAGCATGTATTTTACCCATAGGCATATATTAAATCCTAAAATAGCAAACAATCATTTAGGACCCAGTTTGCATTATTAAAGTCACTTACTTATTTGTGGTTTGTGGCCTTTATTTTTAACAGCTTTATTAGGATATACTTTACATACCATAAATTTCACCCATTTAAAGTATAGAACTCAGTGGTTTTTAGTATACATACAGAGCTCTGTATGTGGTTCATCCTTTTAACATTGTTACAGAAAGCACTCTACTGTAACCTCCTGCATGACTAAGCCCTAATATGATTATCTCTTTCATTTATTTAGACATCTTACAGGGCAGTGGCTAAAAGCATGGATGCTGGAATCAGCCAGTGTGGATTAAATCCCAGCTCTGCTGTGGGCAGAAGAGTTACTGTTAATCTCTCTGAGCCTCGATTTTCTCATGCATGAAATGGGAATAATCCTAGGATCTTCACTGGGAGGACTAAATGGGTTAAAACATATAAAGATCTTAGAACAGTGCCAGGTACATGGTAAGCACTATAAACATGTTTGCTATTACTAATATATTTTCTTTCTGAACTTGGGTACATAGAATTGGATTAATCATAATCCTTAGTTCATGACACATAATCATCAATGGCCCATCCATGAGCCTTTAAATTTTTCATTTCTTTATCAACAACCTAGTGAATACCCATGAAACTGCCACTTGATCCAAGAAATAGAATGTTACTGATAATTTACATCTACCTAAATACCTTGTCCTTATTCCTTATCCACTGCCTACTCTCATAGGTAACTACAATCCTGAATCTGGTGTTTAATAATTTCTTGTTTTGGTTGGTTTTAAGAACTTTAAAGAAATTTTTATTCTTTTTTTTTTTTTAAGATTTGTTTATTCTAGAGAGAGAGAGAGAGAATATAGGCAGGAGGGGCAGAGAGAGAGAGAATCTCAAGCAGACTCCCCACTGAGCATGGAGCCCAACGTGGGGATTAGTCTCATTACCCTGAGATCACAACCTGGGCCAAAACCAAGAGTTGGATGCTCAACCAACTGCGCCACCCAGGCACCCCAAGAACTTTAAAGAATTTTTTAAAGGAATTTTTAAAAGTGTGTATGTGCATGCATGGGCATGCATGTTCATGCACCTTAATAGTATTTTATTGTTCCTTACTCTTTAACTTTATACAATATAATATTTGTAATCTTCTGAGACTTGCATTTTTCGTTCCTAATGTTACTATGATTCTTTCATGTTATCATACGTAGTTATAGTTTATTTATTTCCATTACTGTAAAATATTCCATTGTATTGAATATACCGCCACTTATATATCCATTCTTCCTCTGATGGGCATATGGGCCAT